TGCCTCTGCCTCGGATAGCAGCTGCTGCTGCTCTTCACCCAGGCCAGGCGAGGATGCCTTTCCGGCAGGGCTCTGCCCGGGCGCGGCAGCGCACCGTCCTTCTGGTGGGCATGGTGGTCCTGCTGACCGCCCTCGTCCTCGCCGTCGTGCTGGCCTCTGTCCTGACTCCGGGAAAGCAGGAGGTCAGTCCGAAAATGCTGAAGTGGAAGGACAGAGGGACCACTAAGAACCTGCAAGAAGTCATCCTGGGAAGATGCTACAACTATGTCACGGCGCGGTACCCTGAGCTGCGGTGAGTAAGCGGTCCCGGTCGTGCATCAGGTGTGTAACGAGAACAGAAAAGAGCTGTTTCTCACCTCCACCCGGCCATGTCTGCTGGGATTGCAGTGGCAGAGAGAAATCAGGGGGGTGAGACAGACCCCTGTTTTGTAGCACAACGTACAAACTCGGGCAGCAACTGGCGGTGCCCGAGTGGTGGCTTCTTCAGGAAACTACCCGCAGAGCCAGTGCAAGTAACCCCAGTCCTAGGTCAAAACGTAATCATAAATGGATTTTGCAACTCCTTAAAGCCAGCTAAAATAAAAGCTGGATTCCAACAGGTTTGAGTACGTGGGGGTGAAGCAATTTGCTTTAAGGCTGATCTGCCAAAAATCCTGTAACGACACTGCAGTCACATAAGCAAAACTACACAGGAGGGGGGAAAAGGAAGCAGTTCAGCACAGATTTATAGGACGGACAAAGATGTTAGAAATATCTTGGCGTTACCCAGAACAGATGTTCTTCACATGGGGGTAAGACCTTGCGATGAGCGCAGACAGCCCGCACGGAGGGTTGGCAGTGCCAGCACAGCAGCCCTGGGCAAAACCTTCACCCAGCGGTGGTCCCTGCCCAGCCCACCGCAGCAGGCAGTGTGACAGCCCGAGCAGCCCACCGCTCCGCCGTTGCAGTAGAGGATTCCCGGGGCCCAGGTCTGCAATAGAGTATTAGGGCTGAGAACTGATTTTCTGATCCCCTTCACCGCAGGGAAAGGCAGAGTTATGAAATAATGAGTGCTCCGGCCCCCCCTGCAGGTATTGGGGACCCTCAGGAGAGGATCCAGAGCAGCCAGGATCTCTCCGCAGGGACCCACCCATCACTTCTGTGGCACCAGCCACCCTATTTTGTGTCCGCAGTAAGCCTCCACCAGGCATTTCCACCACTTCGGGCTGAGCGCCGTGGGGCTGCCCTGCACCTTGGCCAGGTGACAGAACCAACCTGTCTTTGTCTTGAAAAAGGCAATCGCCACCTGTCATTTTCGTGACACTGAGCTGATGAGAACAAAGTTGTACATAGTTCGCTTCCATTTGGCCATCCCTTGGCCTCAGATGTCCGGTGCCGTATGAAAAAGATGATTTGCAGCATTTGAAGGGAAGTGGGCACGTGGAAAATCATGGCCTGAGCGTGCAGAGGCTTAAGTTCATGCTTTACATTAAGCACCTAAGTGGGTTTAGTGAAGGGAAGGGGGATTCTTTTACAAATAATATTAAAAAGCTCCTGAAGCTTTTGCAAAACCTTGTACATGTTTCTAAAAGCACACACTCACTTATTAAAGAAGTATACATTCAATATTTAATTGAAATTGTTTTGAAGCCTAATAGCCTTTATTACTTATGCTTGCTTCATTCAAATTGGGGTGCTGAAGGTGTAAAAACCACTTTTGTGTGAGTATGTTTTCAGCCAGTGTCACATGTGTTTTCATTCACTGGGAATAATTTGTTTAAGCAATTCTTTCAAGGACACTTTTCAAAAAATCACAAACCCATGACTGTAAGTTTCCTAAAAAGGTTGTTTTTACAAGGCATAACATTTTGTGCTATTCATAATCCAATAGTGTTTAATAGCTTCATGGCTGTGAGCTCTGTTTCTTTCAGATGAAATGACTTCTGTATAGTAGGACCCTTTTTTGTTTTATTTAAGAGAGAAATTTATGCGAGACAGAGAGCACTGAAAAAGGAAAAATAGGCTCTTTTACTTACACATTAAATGTTCAGGAGGTTCCTGACCAGAGAATTAAACGTAGGGAATCCAACCTAAGATTCCTCGTTTCTGATCCTGCTGAGCTCAGTGCAGTTTGTCACGTAACCAACGGCTTCTGTCGCTGGCACTTTCTGATAATAAAGCAGTTGCATTTAGGACACATCAGAGAGCTCCGTATCTTTCATCCTGCGCTCTTTCATCATTAACGTAGGCCTTGGATCTTGCATCGCACGAGGTCTTTTGTGTACTTAATCAAAGAAAAGATGTAGGAACAGGGAACTGCAGAAACGCGGGCAGGCTTATGAGCTGAGCAAGCTGTGTCCTATGCTCAGTTAGGACTTTCGTTGCCACGACTCCCACTATCACTTGCCTTGGTTAAAACTTTTCATTTCCTCATAAGTTTGTCCATGGTCTGTTCTTGCCCTTTTAATCTTACACCAATATGTGCGTTTGTTTAAAAAGCTCTGCTTTTTGTAAACTTGTGGACATTTCCTCATATTTTTACTTTTTTATACCAGAGTCACCAAGTTCCATCTTTGACAATATTTTCTTTTTTTTTTTTTTTTAAATAGCAGTCTATTCGCTGTAGTAGTTAGTGTGACTATTTACTACATTTTGGAGTGCCGTATTTCAAACTGGAATAGCTGGCAGGTTTGGGAAAAAAGGGGGATTGTTGACCTATGAATATGGACTTTGTAATGTTTCTAGGTATCACAGGCGGATTTAACAGAGGCCACAAGTCTACAGGCCCCATTTAGCTCTGCTTTTGCAACTGCGTGCTGTAAATCATGCGACAAGGCTGCGGACATGCTAATGTACTCCGTCACCCTCACGGCTGCTTTAATCCTAGGGGATGCCTCCTTGCACTCTCCCACGTCTTACCGGAGCCCCGGAGACCATACACAAGTCAGCACGCTCTGGTCACGCTCTTGTCTTTTCCGAAACGAGCTGTGGGCTGAGCCCAAGCCCGGTGAGGCCACTGGAAAGAACTGTCTGCAGTCGGGTTCTCTAAGCACCTCATATGCAAACAGATTTTATCCTCTCAATTCGCTTATTCTCTAAAATCGTCAAAACGTTCAGGCGCTGCATTGAACTTGCTCGCTAAACGGTTCTCAGGTACTGCATACAGCGCCTGCTGGTAATAATTTTGTTTAACTGCCTGCATGCAATACAAGCCTTGGTTTTATTTCTGCTGCTGGGAGATTGACTGTTAGGATTCGTACACATAGAATACACTAACTTTCCTCAGTTAGTCTTCCTGCGTAGAACTGTCATCATGCCAAAGTCAAGGAGAAACAAGCACAGAATACCAAATGCTTCCAATAATGTATTTTCACTATTAATTAGCCCCATTTTTTAGGAAAAAATGCAGATAGTATAGCAGCAGGCTTTAGGGGTTTCATTCCCTGTACACATTGCTAGGTACACACATTAAAGAGTAGTATTTCATTTTGGCTTCCCTGGAAAATACTGGCTGCTGCCAGAAGACAGAGCTAAAGCAATAGTTTGTCACAGCTCAATAGTCCTTTTTTTTTTTGCCCCCCAACATTAACAAAAGCTGCAAGTTCTGCTTTCACTAATCTTGCAAAAATTCTATACTCATCAACCACAGCCATTGGTATGTATTGTAGTTTTGTCTGAATAAAGGCAGTTCGGTCTGAAGGAGAAATTTGACCTCAAATTACTTCGTCTCCTCTTCCCCAACAACGCGACTCCCTCTTGTGGCAGTTCTCATACTCCAGAAAAGCACTTTTCTCATTCAGAAACACAACACTGGTCAAGACCAGTTGTGGCGACGCAGTAACTTACCCATTGCTTGGAAGATGTTGTTTAAGATGGTTTTGCACCTTGATGCCTGCTCGGAGAGAACAGATAGTAACAGATGTAGCATAAAACTTGCTGATAGAAAGTTGACTGATTTAGTTTTCCTTATCACCGTGCTTGAATTGTCAAGCTGAGGTCAGATGTGATCAGCACTTTGTGACCTGGGAAAGGAGGGGAGAAGACACATTATCTACAAGGTCATAGTCACTGATCCCCAAAACACAAATAATGTTTATTTGTTTTTTTCAATCTAGAAGTAAACTCATCTTACGTTTGCAGCTCAAGAGATTTTTCATTCCCAGATAATGACTACTCCCCCCTCAGATCTGCAGTCACTTCGTGGTCTCTGATTCACCCAAGCTAAGCCAAGTTTGCAAGGACCTGCTATACAAAAATGGCTGAAGTCAAACCAGCTTATTTTTTGTCTAACCTCTGCCAGTGAGAGAGCGCCCAGGACATAGACGGGGAGCCCCTTCAGTAACGCATGTGACTCTCAGGCCCGGCAATCCTACTGTGTCTGACTGAGCAGTGCAAAAACCCGGTGAGGAAGATGCAAAGCCTAGAACTTCAATACATTTTTCATGCAGTGTTGTGTGGACCTGCAACATAGATTTCCCCTTTAAATACAATTGGGCCAACCAATGTTGTTTCTATAGTTAGTGGCAAATTCCTGTTATAACAAATTTTAACAGTCTATAGTTCCATTAAATTTAGTAAAAGTTGGTGCATGTTTGGGAGGGCTTTGTCTCCGGACTTCATGATCATGAATGCATCTTGCCTTTCCATTCCTTTGGAGCCTGTGGAGATGGACATACTTGTTGTCAAAAAGAACATATGAAACATGATTTTGTGTGAGCTACTATTGTGCTTGCAGCATAATTTCTTCCAGAAAGAAATCTGGGATTTGTTGTTTGTAGGCTTACTTTTGCATTTTGCCTTCATGCTTTGCTAGGAATTTTTAATTTAATTTCCTTCTATTTGTTCACTGATTGTTAACACTTTCACATCAAGCATAGCACTAAACAACAGCCATGACTTGATTCAGTCTCACAAAACCCATAGCCTTATTTTATATTACCATGACATTATACTCAAACTTATCTGAGATTTGTGTTTTCATGAGGAAAAAAATGCCTTACATATGAGAAACTTTTGGTGAATCAGTCTTCTGAAGAGTATGGTGTTATACCCAAATCATAACACATTAGCAGCCCTAGCAGAGTGCACTGTAGAATTCTAAAGCTTCTGAATATACAACAAACTGCAAAGGATTTAGCTTCTATTTTTTAAAAATACAATTTCTAAAAAGAAATTGAATTCTTACACCGTGTCTTGTGTTTCCAGAGCAAACAAATGGCTTTATTTGCACTCTCTGTCTGCAGAAAAAGTCATGGGGTCCTGGTGGACAAACTGAACGTGAGCTACCAGTGTGTCCTTGTGGTAAAGGCCAGT